TCCTGTGCCTGAAACCAGCGCCCACCTTGTTCAGCTTTCGCTCGTGTTATGAAGACATGAAACGGCTGCCTGTGCCCCTCCCCCCCGAAGGCTGGGAAGCATGGGAACCCTGAAAGGACCTGGGGGTGGTGTGTCTTGGGGAGCCGTGTCACCCTCCTTCAGGACGGCCCTTGTGGGTAGAGAGCGGGAGGGGTGGGGGTGGAGAACCTTTTCAACCCAGTCCCAGCCCCCACCCCACCCCACCTCTCCTGCCCCTGCTCCCTCGGGCCCAAATCTGTGTCTGCTCCCCACCCCATAGGATGGCACGGCCTCCCCCCCATGAACTTGGTGCTGTCGGGCGTGGAGTATTTTTCCAACTCTCAGCCCCATTCCCACGGCCAAACTGAGAACGTGAACAAAGAGGCGAGCGTCCCCTTTGGCACCAATCGTAAGCCAGTGTTCACTGCAGCCTCACCTGGAGATGCAATTTGATAGAAGAATGAGGTTTGTTAATCTTTTGGATTCCTTTAAAAAAACAAAATTACTTGCTGCTCAAACCGAAAGCGGGCACCACCTAGGGGCCTCGATGCCGGGAATCTGGGCTGGACAGCAGGTGGGCTCCGCCCAGCACTCGGTGGGGGGGGGGGGGGTCTGCAGTTGTTAGATGAGTCACGTAAATCGGGGCGGTCTGGGAGGAGCGGCCGATGCCTTCCGCTCTGGGAGTTCCTTCAGCACAGCATGGCAGCAGGGCTTCCCGACCTTCCATCCAGGCCGTTCTGACCACCTGCTGATGGACAGTTCAGTCCGGTCCTCTTTGCATTTTGTTTGAAACAGAGCCCAGCGCCCTCGCTGGTGTGGCTCAGTGGATAGAGTGTTGGACTGCGGACTGAAGGGTCCCAGGTTTGGTCCCGGTCAGGGCACAGGCCTGGGTTGTGGGCTCGATCCCCAGTGGGGGGCTTGCAGGGGGCGGCCGATCCATGATTCTCTCTCATCACTGATGTTTCTCTCTCTCCCTCTCCCTTTCTCTCTGAAATCAATAAAAATATTTTTTAAAAAGAAGAAGAAAAGAAACAGAGCCGGGGAACGCCTGGTGGGCCGGCCTTGTCGCCAGCCATTGGTCACTCAGCCTCATGCCGCACAGAGGTGGCCTCTGTCCCCTTGGTGCCCAGGGGACCCCCCTCCTGGGGGATGGGAACGTGTTGGGCCTGCAGGCAGGTGACAGGGATGCTTCCTGTGAGGTGGGAGGAAGTGAACACGAAGGGGCGGGCCTGACCCCTCGAGTGACACTCACGTGTGGGCAGATTGGCTTCGGGAAAGAGCAGGGACGCTGAGGACCTGGAAACCGGGTCCCTCGGGAAAGTCACAAGGCGCTCTCGACCCCCAGGCGAACCCCGACCCGTCCATAACCCTGTGTCTCCACGGAGCTGCCACGCAGTTCACCCACCACCCCCAGCGAGCACTGCACGGGGATCAGAGCTCAGGCAGCTGACTCCCAGGTCCGTTCCCCCCACCACGCTGTGTGCGCTGAACACAAGGGTCACCCCGTGGAGACGTGCACAGGACCGATGTGGGTCTCAGAACTTGCCTGGCATGTGGGCGACCGTGCTGCTGAGCTCACGGTGTGGGAAGACGGATGCACCCGCATCCACGGAGAAGGCCCACGTGCATTCTCCCCTTGCTGCACCCCCCACCCCAAGAAATCCCTTCGGCTGCCCCAGAATCGTCGCTCTGCGGCCAGCAGGTGGCAGCACCGCCTCACCATTGTCCTGGGGACTTGGTTGCTGGCTGACTCATCATCTGGGGAAAATTCCGTTGTGGAGTCGCTGGAGACTGAGGTGAAACGGAGACAAAGTTCAAGCCCTCCCCTTCTCTCCCGCCTTCCCCTCCCAGGCAGCAGCCTCAGTACCTGGCTCACTGACTACTTTTCCTGGAATTTCTCTTCCTTGCTGCCTGAGAGCAAGCATGTCAGACTCGCAACCCACCGGCTGCATGCGGCCCACAACAAATATTTTTGCGGCCCAGCCACTATAACGGTTGTAAGAAACAGTTTAATGAAAATCTAGTAACCTAATTTTCCCAATATCCTGTTATACATAATCTATATCACATATATAAAAGCCTAAGCGACGGAATGATCGCATGACCCACGACCAGTCGCTGTGATGCACGCTGACCACCAGGGGGCAGACACTCAACGCAGGAGCTGCCCCCTGGTGGTCAGTGCGCTCCCAAAGCAGGAGCACCGCTCAGCTGACCGAGGGGCGCCAGGGTGAGTGGGAGCGGCAGCAGCGCTGGACGGCTGGTTTCAGCCCAGTCCCCGGAGGCCGTGCCGGGGGACCCCACCGGTGCACCAGCTACAACGTTCGCTAATGACTGGGGACTGTAATCGTGTTGCATTCATCTCCCTCACGCACCGTACGCGCAGGCGCACCATTTCCACTAATACCAGCAGCGAATATTCTAGCAGCCGATGACCTCGTCATTAGTCCCATTCATCTCCCTCACGCACCGTACGCGCAGGCGCACCGTTTCCACTAATACCAGCAGCGATATTCTAGCAGCCGATGACCTCGTCATTCGTCTTGCACTGACTTGTTCGGTGTGCGCAACAGGAAATATTTCACTTTCGGAGAATAAGAAAAATAGGTTTATTTGCATCACACTTATTAATTTGTGCAGTTATTCAGTGTCTGGTAAGTGAATGTTCAAGAAAAAATATTAATTTTTATTTAAGTGTTCTATTATTTTATGTTAACGATGGCTCATTTATTTCAGCCCTTTGTATTCACCATGTCTCTATCGGAATAAACCTACGTTTCTATGAAAACTGAAGCTTTTGATGTTTGCGGCCACATCCACTTCACCCTTGTTTGGCCCGTGCGAGCCTTTGAGTTTGACATGCTTGCTGTAGAGATCTTGGCGTGTAGCTGTGGCCGCGAGCAGGTGAAGGGTGAGCGTATTGTCATAAGGACTCACTCGCTGAGCCCTCGGCTGGGACCCCCTCGCTTGGTCCTTGCGGTCAGACAAGCGGACAAGTTCTGTTAGGAGAGCAGTGGCTCTGGCCTGGCCACCTGGGTCTGTCTTCCTGTTGATTCCTCAGTAACTGACTGCGCCCTGAAACACAGGCCCCGGGGCGTCTGAGGTCTGGAGGGAGGTGCCTCTGGTCCCCTGGTCACCGGGAGGCTGGACTCTATGGACAGACGGGCTTCCCGGCCCAGCTTTGCCTTGTCCTGGCTCCGTGGCCGGGAGTAACCCTCAGCCTCTGTTTGCTCATCCATGGATGGGAATCCTAGAGCATCCACCACGGCTGTCACGAGGGTGAAGGGACTCAGCGCAGACCCTGTGCTCGGCTCGGAGCCGCTCCCGGCAGGTACCTGACAGGTGCCGACTGCTGGGCGCACCTGAACGTGCGCCTCCTGGACGGCGTGGCCAGCAGGTCCCATCCCGGAATGCACCCCCCGTGGGCATCGCGATGTGGGTCACGGGACACGGGCAGTGCCTGTTTCCTCTGCCAGGGCCGCCTGACACGCCTGCCCACCCACCGCGCAGCCGGCAGCTTCCCCTGGCGGCGTCACTCGCAGGCAGGACGCTCCGGAGCTTGGCGCTCAGTGCAGCCGCGTGACCTGCTGGCTCGGCTCTGCTTCCCGTGATCTTGGACTCTGGGTCTCTGTTAGGGCACGTGTGTCACAACTCGGGCGGGAGACACACCTTGTTAGAGACACAATAGAGTGGGTGGACCCCTCTCTGTGGTAACCCCCGAGTGAGTGGGTGGGCCCTCTATGTAGTAATCCCGCGGGGTGAGGCCCTTGGTTCCCTGCACCCCTGGCAGGTCAGGACACGGTGTGGGACGTGACGCAGCAGGTCCACGGGCTGTGAGCCTGAAGGACTGGGAAGGAAAGGCTAAGGGCTAGCTGTGCCCATCCCCCTGGCCTCCCCTTTGCTGGGCTGGGCCTGGGGGCGGAGCCTGCGGGTAATTTCAAGCTGTTTTCCCAGAGGCCAGAGAATGAAGACAGGCAGGCGATGGGCCGACTCAGCACCAAATGGGCTCAGACCCCAGGCTGACGCCTGAGACCCTGGTCACCTCCAGGAAGAAGATGGTTGGAGTTCGGGGAGGAGGGACTTGCTTCCCTGTACTGGACTGACCTTGGGTTTCCTGGGAGCCGGACAGCGGGCAGCGGGTCAGAAGGTTGATGGGAAGTAGGCTGGCTGGTCGGAACCTTCTCACTCTCCGTGGTGAGCATGGCGCCCTGTTTGCCGGGCCTCAGGTCAGCTGAGCTATTGTTATCCCGCTCCTCGCTCTCCAGGCGGAGTACATGGTCAGAGTCAGTGAAATTATTTTTAATGTATTTTAACCCAATTTAGCCAACGCAGTTTCGTGACCAGCGTCTGAAATCTACAGACACTCAGGCTGCGCTGGCAGGTGTGGCTCCGGCGGTTGAGCGTCATCGCACCCACCAGAGGTTTGAGTCCCTGTTGGGGCCCATATGGGAGGCAGCCACTCCATATTCTCGCTCACGTCGATGTTTCTCTCTCTCTCTGTCTCTATCTCCCTCCCTCTAAGCATATCCTCAGGCGAGGATTAAAAAAAACCTTTGCTGCTTGGATTGTCATAAAGTTTTTTTGATTTGCCTAAATTCGACTTAACTTTTTTAAAAACAGTTTTTATTGATTTTTAGAGCGAGAGAAAGGAAGAGGGATAGAGAGATAGAAACATCAATGAGAGAGAAACATTGATTGGCTGCCTCCC